GAATCTGAATTTCGATCGAGGTTTGGACTCTTAGTACTTGCTTTGAAGTTGATTTTGTTGTTCATAGTACAAGTATATATGCATATGTATACACATTTCAGCCATAATCTGTGTTGCCTGGCTAACAACTCTGTACAAATTTCTTCTTTTGTCATTTGGATTCTGCAGCTTTAAACAACTCTCGCCATTTCTGCGTATCACTTCCTGGACCATCCCCCTGCAATCACATTTCTCAAACATATCAAAAACCAACCAATTTGTTTAAACATTTTCAATGATCAGCTTCTCAACTTCCTTGAGACATGTTTCCTGATCAGACTACACTGTGCAGTTGTTCCATTTCCAGTTTGTTCGATATTTCAAAGTCCGGACTTTCAAGAAAACTGTATGCGATACCTTAACTGAATTGATCTCGTAAGCTTTGCCTTGTGTGAATTCAATATCAAGTGCTTGTATGCAAGCTTCAGCTACCACAAGTCTGCTTACCTCTCCAACAAGTTTGTCTCCTGTTATATAAACCAGACAAGGAATCTTTATGTTTGCAACCCTTTCTTCACCTTTAATTCTTTTAAGCATTTAAAAGCAAGCAATCTCAATTTTTCAGTATCCAAGCATTTCACAATGAGCGTATTCACCTTGACCGATAACAACTGCACGCCGTTCTCCAGCTGTAGCTTTGAGCAAAGTATTCAGATCATAAGATGTGTATGGTCCATCAGTCAATCTACCAGGTCTGGTTTCATAATACAGTAAAATCAGTAAACCATATGTTGCCTGCATACTTGAGTTTTAATTAACTGGTGGTAGTTGAGCAAACCTGATAATGGTGAATGGAAGACCAGAGTCCCGAAGAAAATCTTCCCCCATCTTCTTGTACTTAAGAACCCCAAAAAGATTCATGATACTGTCAAACAAAACATACATTCGAAATACGTAGAGACACTCAGATTAAGGAAATTCACAGAGTTTTTGTACACCATACTCAGTTTCACATGCTTATTCATCTTTATGAATTTCCGTAGCGTAACGAAAGCAATTAGCATAGGTACTATAAGTCTCACCTCCAAGGAAGCTCATTAGACTTGGTCACACCAACTGATGAAACCAGAACAACTCTCTTCACCGATTTGGGCAATGCTGAAATGAGATTCTTCACACCTTCCCAATCTTTTGAGCACAAAAGGACCACATACAGTAGTCCCAAAAAGGGATAATCAATCATGGCATGTAAGAGACCGCTTTGTTTCATTCAATTCCACATCATTGATAACAAAACAAGATCACAAAGACTATCGAAATGGAAAGAAATGTTCTCACCTACTTTATCAGGTGTGTTTTCTCCACTCCACCTCTTAGAAGGAAAAGCTGTAGTACCAGTGCAACAAATCACATGTGTAACACCCTATACAACAATGTTAAGCCAGCTAAAACCAGTTTAAAATCCAAACATGAACAGAAAAAGATACAAACTTAGGAAATGATAAACAAATGGAAGAAGACAAACCTCAAACATGGATGGATCAAGATCATCTGCATTTCTAGTATCTCCTTTGACTACCTATCACAAGGTTTTAACTTTTTACAAGGTTGAAAAATGTAGTAGCAGTGAATCCTAAATGTGCGCAAGGTAAAATATGAACATCCAAACCTGTAATGAATTCTCATCTTGTTTACCGAATAACTTAGTTGCTTTCTCAAGATCACGCAACAATAACCTTGACCTAATGTTCCTCTTGAGCAATGAAGCTACCACAAGTTGCCCTGATACCAAAAATATGAGAATGAAAGAAGTCGCACACATCAAACAATTGGTTGGTTCTTGAAGATACGACGCACAATTCACCATCATTCAACAGACCCACTTGTAAAAATTACATCTTTGAGAAATTCATAATCTCGATTCCAATAATTGAACATTGAAGAAGATGATATGGTAGATTCGTACCAACACCACCAGTGCCACCAACGACAAGAACAAGCTTTGAAGAAGAGACTAAAGCCGAGGAATCGAGGGCTTCTTCAGTAAGAGCTTGGATTGGCGAGGACGATGAAGACAAAGATGCTTCATTTCTAACCAGGAAGAATGGAGAAAGAGGT